TCAAAAGAGGTTTTGTCCTTGTGCCTTTAACAAGGACAGCCATAGGCTGGGATAGAACAGTTAGGATGGGATCTGTATCCACTTGGTGATCAAAGAAGTCAACATGCCACCTGCAAAGCATATTAAAAAGGGGCAGGTTTTTAGTCATGCTGTCAGAGAATTCATATTGATCTTTTTTATCTTTGTTTGAAAAATTATTTTCACCTATCTATTTTTATTTTAAACATTAGGTTTTCATGCAATATAATGCAGTTGTGTCCGAGTTGACAGATTGTGTAAGATTTAGAGAAAAGCATCAGGAATTACATCAGCTTATAACTTACAAAAAGTCATATGCAATCTTTTGAGAAAAAAAATCTTTTATAGCCAAGCCTACATTACTATAAAAATCATTTTATGATATTTTTTCTTGCTTGGAAATGAATTTATAAATTGGAAAGCATTAGCTTTGGAAGAAAAATTGGAGGAGAGCAGAATCCAGTGCTTAAAGGATATTTATTACTCTCTGTAACTTATTTAATCATTTATATTTCTCCATAAATACATAAGTATGTTCGTATTTGGAATTGTAGGCATGCAAAAATAGTTTCTTTTGGGGGAATGTGCTGTCAGCTGTTATTCTGGTTTGTATATGATCATTCCTGAATGTAACAACACACAGAATTGAGCTGTCAACCCTGTTCTCTCCACATATGGTGCAAACAAAATGACTCTGTATGATATCAACATTTCTTGGGGAAAGGTAAGTTTTGCAGACCCTGATGAGATTTGTACAATTTTAAAAAAAATGTGTGAGATTGGTTGTCCTGACAGTCAGTATAACTGGCTCAAAGCCACACCATGAATCTCTGTGCCTAAAGATGGACACGAACCTGGGTCGCCCGTTCCTAGGCTAACACCTTTACCACCTCACCACCTAAAACCAATAATGAAGGGCAGTGGTTGGGATGATGGTTTCAAGAGAAGTTCCAACTTCAGGGAAAATATTCCACAAAATTCAGGAGCAGAAACTAGGAAGCACTGATTCCCAGAGGTATTTGATGAACTGTTATAGAGATGTTCTGACAAAACGAAGCCTTCCTTGGCTCCTAAGTGCTGCGTTAATGCTTCAGGAACTCCGGGACGGTTGTTTGTTTTAATTGCAAATGTGCTGGTTTGGGCAAAGCTGTCTGTCTTAGAAACCACATTCTGTAGTTGTAAAAAGAAAAATGAAAGTGAACTGAAAGTGTTCCATGTGGGTTGGGAAGGGTTAGTAGCATTGAAGAGGTTTCTGCTGCTTGGTAGACAAATCAAAATCAAAGCAGAGAGAGGAGATTTGCATATTCATCTCCAAGTGAGAGGGTGACCTGAGGGCAGAGTTAGCATGCTATACTGGGGGGGGGGGGGCAGGGGGAGGAGAAATAGTTTAAGGGAAAGACTTGCAGAAGATGGTTTATACCTTCTATGGTTACTGTTTGGGGGCATTGTTTAGCCGTTATCTGACACAACATGTCTTAGTTTTTTTTCCTTCTGAGAAAAAGGTGTAGCCTCACATCTAGCCAGTATTTACTGTGGACTTGGTGCAACTTGTGAATAAGCCATACACAAAGAGAACTTTTTACTTTTGCTTAATTGAGGTGCTTTCACAGCCTGGAGAGAGTCTAAATGCCTGCCGTGGCCTTTTCTCCAGCTAGTACACCAAATGCAAGTACAGTGTCAGTTGCATTTGAAGCAGACATTTTCCACCCCTGTGTGTGTGTGTGTGTGTGTGTGTGTGTGTGTGTGTGTGTGCGCACGCACATACTTGTGTGTCAGAGATATTTTTGAACTCCCAAGCAGAGAGCTTTTCAGCCTTGGTGAAGGAACGCCCTAGCTTGCTAATGCTGGGTTGCAGGGCGCCTCTGCTTGCAGCCAGTGTGGAGGAGGGAAGGTTCACCAAGGGTAAGCGGAGGAGGAAGTGAGTCAATGACACGGTAAGCCTGTGGTCCACGTGCAAGGAAGTAGAGATGGTCTGGCCCTGGGAAGTAGATGTTGCAGAAGTTTCCTGCACTTGCTTCATTCTCCCTTTGCTTCAGGTGCAGGCTTTGGCTGCCAAAATAAAATAAAAAATGAGAAGACCTGCTAAGAGCAGTTGAAGGAGAAATAAATTTTTATTCTTAAGAGTTGGTGTGAAAGTGAAATGTCTATATAGATCAGGAGTCCCCAATCCCTGGGCTGCGGGAGAGATGGGCAAGCACGTGGATGTGAATCTCCACTCGTGGGAGCAGTGAACAAGCATGCACAAAGCTCCGCTCACATAAGTGGAGTTTTGTGCGCGAGGAGCTTCACACTCAAATGCAAGCACCTGCCCCTCACACAAATGGAGCTGTGCACGCATGCATGTGCCTGCCACTCACACGCCCTCACCCCCATTCCTGTGCTCGACTGGGCTGCCAAGCTGGAAAGGTTACGGACTATTGATACAGATAAATCCATCAGATGTCTGTTTGAATGCGGAATCTACTATGCAAGCCCAATATTCTGTATAGACAACAGCATATATTTTAATATGCCTTGCTATTGTATAGGTAATCCTCGACTTATGTTGCTAAACGAAACATTTATTAAGTGAATTTTGCCCCATTTTACGATTTTTCTTGCCACAGTTGTTAAGTGAATCACAGCAGTTGTTAAGTTAGTAATATGACTGTTAAGTGAATCTGGCTTCCCCATTTATTTCGCTTGTCAGAAGGTCACAAAAGGGAAGTCACATGATCCCGGGATAGAACAACTGCCATAACTATGAATCAGTTGCCAAACATCTGAATTTTGATCACATGACCATGGGGATGCTGCAACAGTTGTAAGAGTGAAAAATGGTCATAAGTCACTTTTTTCAATGATGTTGTAACTTTGAATGGTCACTAAATGAATGGTTGTATGTTGAGGACCACCTGTAGTTGTATTCTTTCAGTTGTGTTCTCTAATAACGTTTTCTTCATCTCTAATTTTTCCAGATGTATTAGAGAAGTATTTTAGAAGCATTGAGTTATTTGTTTACCTGTGCTGGAGGTAAGCTGAGTCAGCACTGCGGTCCAAGATGACCCCAAAGATTATGTTAAAGTAGGCTTTTCAAATTCCTTCTGTTTCTCTTCACACATCTCACCCATTCTTTCTTTTGTTGTGGTTATTTGCCTTTGTAAAGGGAAAGCTTGTAGACAGCCTTCCTTTGTATAGAAACTGAGAGACAGTTGCATTACAATCAGTTTCCTTGTGTGGTCTTGTGCACTGTTGAAAAGAGGCCAGATCCAAGTTGTCTTATCAAGTCATTCTTATTACAGTTGGTATTACTTTTAATTAACCTTAATATATGTGTACAACATTTAGCTAAGTGTTAGTGATTATCTGGGAGTGGCAACAATTTAGAAGGAGGAAAGAACCCATTGGCACTCTTTACATTATGAAGTTGGGAAAAAATAAGTGGACTTCCCCTTATGCCTTCAACTCAGTAGTTAAACTGAAAATCAACTTATCCAGTTGATTCCCTGCTGTGTACACACGGGTGCCTCTCTAGGAAGAGTGTCTGGACCGGGGCTTCGTCAGTAGTTTTATTTCTCTTGCTTTTTTGTTGACATTGATGGTAATCTCTATACTTGAAAAGTATTATGCCTCTGTGAAATGGAAGCTGCTTACACTGAAAATAGACTAGAGAATATGTATAGCTAGAAACCTCCATTGTGTTGATCAGATAGGACCCATCCTCAGAACAGAAGTTCCAGAAAGCAGGATCTCAGCTACTCTCTTTTCCTACTGGTTTTCCTAGTATATAATGCACGACATTGTGGATTTGCCTAATGAATGCTTAGCCACCTTTCAGGAGCAGCTCAAAGTGTATCATTTAAGTTCCAAAGTTGTTTATTAGCATTGTGCATCATACAACAGATTAAAAAGACATGAAGAATCTTAACATTTGGGTGTGTAGGACTAATACTGTTATCAGTTAGGGCTCTGTAAAAGGAAAATTGGAATAGTGTATTAGTCTACTACATTATATGTCTGTCTCTGTTTAATGGTAGGTATATTCCTGGTTCCTTTGATTAAACAATGTTATCTGTTGAGACCTTGGAAGCATGCTTTCTCTATTTCTCCCAGTGCCTGCTCTCTATAATGTTGCTTTTCTGCTAACAAAGATTTAGGGAAGAATGCTATCCTTTATCTGTGATTTGTCACTGAATTGTGCAATCCCGAGGATTGTAAAATTGTAGAAATGAATCTGGGAATTGCATGAGGCTTGTATTTTGTCTGCCTTGGGTTAGTTCTTTGGGTTTAGCATTATATATGTAACAGGCCACTGTTGAATTCTATTCAGATGCTCTAAACTGGCATATTACCCGTGAGCAGTAGAGACTGCCTATCTCCTCTGCAAGTAAGTGCATTAATTGGTTGTCCATAAATAAAGTTTCGTTCTCTGCAATGGAAAGCCTTAATATATAGATATATGCAATGTCTTCCTTGTACATTGCCGTTATGTAGAAGCCTTTTTGCAGTGGTAATTTAAGAAGCCATGGTTTAAAACAGCTTAGGCCTTAGGTGTAGTGAACAAATCCATTTTTAACCGCCTTGAAGGCAGCACAGGTGGTCCTCATTTAGCAACTGCCTTATACAGTGACTGTTTGCAGTTACGGCAGTGATGAAAAAGTAACGCTTCAACTAGTCCTGACATATATGGCATCCGCAGGTTTGTAAAGCAAAGGAAATCTGAAGTAAAATTAGAAACACAGTCACGGTTTTACTTAGTGACATCTACACTTAACGACCAAGTTGAGTTGCTAAACCAAGACTACCTGTATTTTTGTCTGCTTTAAGTAGAGAGATCCAGAAAATGTAAGGCTTTTGGATGTCTTACTCTTAAAACAGTTGCCCAAGTTAAGAAAACGGTATATATCAGGTTTTGCTTGCTATTTTCCTATTAACAGTGCATTTTTCTGTTTCAGGGAGTGAAACCATTGGACCTTGGCGTCCTTTTAAGCTACAAATTGCGATCCACCCCGTCCAACTCTGCATGGATTAGCTGATGCAAGAGGAGAGCCTTTTGTTGGCTTCGTACTTTCTACCTCCCGTTCTGCTCTTGCATTTGCAATGGGTTGGTTGCTGATCTGACTTTGAACAGGCCCCGAATCATGAGTCTTCAGGCTCAGCCAAAGTCTTCAAGCAAAAGAGCTGGAAAGCGGATTGCGTTTTTTAGTGAGCAAGATGCTCTTCTGAAAGAAGCTCACCAGCAGCAGCAGCAGCAGCAGCAGCTAAAAGAAGGACAGTATTACGGGCACGGAGGGAATGTGCCTCCCACCCAGTCCATGGAGCTGACCAAGGCAGGGGTTTTCAGCAGTGTTCCCAGCAATGCTGCATTGCTGAATTCAATGTATCAGGACAGAGGGGAGGGGAGGATGACAGCCCAGCAACTGGCTGCTGCCAAGTGGCATAGTTCCCTAATGGGAAACCATTTGCCTGATCGAAGTGAGGCAAATTGGCAGCCTCAGCCCAGAGGGTGGACCCATGGCATAGTGTATGGTGGCAACCAGAAAGGAGGACATCCTAATGCCAGCATCCCAGATTATTATGGCCACCCAGATGCCCTGAAAAGGAACAGGGAGAAAGGGGGAGTGGTATCACAGCTGGACCTGTATGGGGATGCCGTCCAGCAGATGCTATCCCAAAAGGCCCAGTTGGAACAGCAAGCATTGGCCAGGCAGCAGGCCCAGATGAGCTCTTTTCAGCAAATGCAGCAGCAGCAACAGCAGCAGCAGCAGCAGCAACAACAGCAGCAGCAAAATCAAAACCTCTCTTTGCAACCTTTCCAGCTGGCTTTTGGTCAGCAGGGCCAGAAGCAGGGTCTTCCTGAGTTGTTGCATGTTCTTCAACAGGCTCCCACATCTTCCAGCCCAGCTTTTACTGCTCAGCAGAAACAGCAGGCTCTTCCGCAGTTGCAGCTGTTTGAAAACTATTATTCCCAACAGCAGCAGCACCATCACCACCACCAACAGGCAGGAGTGCAGACTTTTGGCGTTCAGCCATTGGCTTCTGTACCACAGCCACATCTGGGAGCACCCCCTCAGCCTGTTCAGCATCATATGGTTTCCCATCAGATCCACCCAGTTTCTGAGAGGAACCAGGAATTGCTGAAGGCTCTGACAGAGCAGAACCCCCAGTCAGTGCTACCACAGGCACAGATCAATCTCCCAAGGAGATCACGCAGGCTCTCCAAGGAAGGTGTCCCACCAATACCTTCTGGAGAAGGAACTCTGGTCTCCAAGGCAGCTGAGGACTACCCTGGGAACATTGTGCCAACCCATCCCTGGCAATCACAGCAACACCCTGAAGTCCAGTTCCAACCTCAGTCTGAAATGTTCAGTCACAAGGAAAGTTATTCCCAACTAAGTAGGGCAGAACTAGACCATGGGGATATGCCATCGGGGAGTCAGCCAAGCCAGCCTGACATGGAGATGGTGAGCATGTATGAGAATGCCCAAGAAGCAGGAAAACAGGTGGCTGCCACTGACGGCATTGGTCCGAGAACGAATGACTTTGGTGCGGTTAGAGGAGGAGTCATCCAGAGTACCCGGAGGAGACGGCGTATTTCTCAAGAGGCTAACCTCTTAACTCTGGCTCAGAAAGCTGTTGAGTTGGCTTCTCTTCAGAATGTCAGGGTAAGTGATATCTCTTGACTTGTTCTTTGACTGTTACTCTTTTTCATTTTCTGAAGTGTTGGAAGTAGCTGGCAGCCTTTGATGATCACTTTGTTTTCTTCAGAGATGTGTCTTCGCAACCTTTCATCTCATTTTAAGAGGTTTGTTTTTTCCCCCCTCACGTATTTCTGGCAATTGAAGGAGAAGAGAAAACACCTGCATATGTTTAGATCAACAAGGACAGTTTGTGTATCCCAGTGGTGTTCATACTTGGCATCATTAAGATGGGTGGACTTCAACTCCCAGAATTCTTAAAGGTGCCAAGTTTGAAAAATACTGGTCTATCCCTTTCTGCAGAATAGCAGTGGACAGTCAAATCAAGAATAAATTGCTGCCTGAAAGAAGCGTCTTACTGTTCTCTTTCTCAATTCAGTTACACGATTTATATTTTATAAATGGAAGGGAAGCACATTTGGAAAGTAGAAATGAAAACCTGCAATCCAGCTAATGGATTTAAACTGAGCACTTATCAGTCAGATGGCAGCAAATTGACTTCGGCTTGGATAACCAGTGGTCCATACTTTCCACCATGCTAAGAACCTTTGCATATTAGTCCACAGATGAATAAGGCACTTGGAGGCCCAGAATCATTAAGTAAGAAAGGGCCACTGAAGCCTAGACGTCTAGCTGTCTGTTCGTTCCCAACACAAAATTGGCCAACAATAGAAAGCAAGACACTTCTACAGATCATTCGTTCCACCACTGAACTATTTTTATCATAAGGATTTTTCTTAACACTCAGATGGAATCTACTTTCCTATAACTAAGGCTTCTTTCTCTGTCCTCCAAATTCCTTTTAACTCCTGCAGAAATAACTGTCTCCAAAATCCTGCAATTCCCTTCAAATAAAAGATTGATGTGATGTTAGACAAATCACACAAGTACTAGTGCCTGAATGGCATACAAGAACGTTCCCTAGTCTTTCTTCTCACCATCTCTAAACCTGCATTGATTCTGCCAAAGTCTAGCATCACTTTTGCCCTTGTATCTGTTGAGCTTTAACTCTTTTTTTAATATCATACAATACCTACCTACAACAGCATCTACAATAACTTTATTTCCAGATATGGCGTTTATTATAGGTGGCTTTGTTATCACTTTTACTCTTTGCCATGGGGCAAAAGATTTCTGTTTTTCATCTAAAAATGGAAAAATATTTGATTTAACCAGTGCACTATGTATTTTTTTTTAAAGGAATAACTATTGATCTTTTCTATTTCTCTAATATCCAGAAAACAAAGAAAGAGGGAAGAGGAAAAAAAATCTTAGGAAGTGCATATAAACTCATATATTAATTGAAGAAAGGTTTTTTTTTTGATAGACAGACTGTTGGAATAGAATAGACAAAGAGTCCCTGTATATAAATATTAGCATGTAAATCAGTTTCCTTAGCAGTAAAAATAATTGGAAATTAAGTGGTTGCTTGTTCTCTAAATTTCTAACTAGTCCTCCAGTTGTGACTTCCATTAATAAAATATAGAAGTAAATTGCTATTATATAATCGCCAATCTCCCAACATTGTGGTCTTAAATTTTTATGATAATAAAAACACATAATACCTATTTATATTCTTCCCCGTGGGAGCCAGTTTGGCGTAGTGGTTAAGTACCAGGCTAGAAACAGAGGACAATAAGTTCTAGTTCAACTTTAGGCACAAAGCCAGGTGGATGACCTTGGGCCAGTCACTGTTTCTCCATCCTAGGAACTAGGTAATGGCAAACCTTTTCTGAAAAATCTTCCCAAGAAAACTACAGGGACTAGTCAAGGCAGTTGCCAGGAGTCAACACTAATTCAAAGCACTAACCCTAACACACACACACCCAACCCCCCCCCCCCCAAATCNCAAGGCAGCTGAGGACTACCCTGGGAACATTGTGCCAACCCATCCCTGGCAATCACAGCAACACCCTGAAGTCCAGTTCCAACCTCAGTCTGAAATGTTCAGTCACAAGGAAAGTTATTCCCAACTAAGTAGGGCAGAACTAGACCATGGGGATATGCCATCGGGGAGTCAGCCAAGCCAGCCTGACATGGAGATGGTGGGCATGTATGAGAATGCCCAAGAAGCAGGAAAACAGGTGGCTGCCACTGACGGCATTGGTCCGAGAACGAATGACTTTGGTGCGGTTAGAGGAGGAGTCATCCAGAGTACCCGGAGGAGACGGCGTATTTCTCAAGAGGCTAACCTCTTAACTCTGGCTCAGAAAGCTGTTGAGTTGGCTTCTCTTCAGAATGTCAGGGTAAGTGATATCTCTTGACTTGTTCTTTGACTGTTACTCTTTTTCATTTTCTGAAGTGTTGGAAGTAGCTGGCAGCCTTTGATGATCACTTTGTTTTCTTCAGAGATGTGTCTTCGCAACCTTTCATCTCATTTTAAGAGGTTTGTTTTTTTCCCCCTCACGTATTTCTGGCAATTGAAGGAGAAGAGAAAACACCTGCATATGTTTAGATCAACAAGGACAGTTTGTGTATCCCAGTGGTGTTCATACTTGGCATCATTAAGATGGGTGGACTTCAACTCCCAGAATTCTTAAAGGTGCCAAGTTTGAAAAATACTGGTCTATCCCTTTCTGCAGAATAGCAGTGGACAGTCAAATCAAGAATAAATTGCTGCCTGAAAGAAGCGTCTTACTGTTCTCTTTCTCAATTCAGTGACACGATTTATATTTTATAAATGGAAGGGAAGCACATTTGGAAAGTAGAAATGAAAACCTGCAATCCAGCTAATGGATTTAAACTGAGCACTTATCAGTCAGATGGCAGCAAATTGACTTCGGCTTGGATAACCAGTGGTCCATACTTTCCACCATGCTAAGAACCTTTGCATATTAGTCCACAGATGAATAAGGCACTTGGAGGCCCAGAATCATTAAGTAAGAAAGGGCCACTGAAGCCTAGACGTCTAGCTGTCTGTTCGTTCCCAACACAAAATTGGCCACAATAGAAAGCAAGACACTTCTACAGATCATTCGTTCCACCACTGAACTATTTTTATCATAAGGATTTTTCTTAACACTCAGATGGAATTTACTTTCCTATAACTAAGGCCTCTTTCTCTGTCCTCCAAATTCCTTTTAACTCCTGCAGAAATAACTTGTCTCCAAAATCCTGCAATTCCCTTCAAATAAAAGATTGATGTGATGGTTAAACAAATCACACAAGTACTAGTGCCTGAATGGCATACAAGAACATTCCCTAGTCTTTCTTCTCACCATCTCTAAACCTGCATTGATTCTGCCGAAGTCTAGCATCACTTTTGCCCTTGTATCTGTTGAGCTTTAACTCTTTTTTTAATATCGTACAATACCTACCTACAATAGCGCCTACAATAACTTTATTTCCAGATATGGCGTTTATTGTAGGTGGCTTTGTTATCACTTTTACTCTTTGCCATGTGTTTTTCATCTAAAAATGGAAAAATATTTGATTTAACCAGTGCACTATGTATTTTTTTTAAAGGAATAACTATTGATCTTTTCTATTTCTCTAATATCCAGAAAGCAAAGAAAGAGGGAAGAGGAAAAAAAAATCTTAGGAAGTGCATATAAACTCATATATTAATTGAAGAAAGGTGGGTTTTTTTTATAGACAGACTGTTGGAATAGGATAGACAAAGAGTCCCTGTGTATAAATATTAGCATGTAAATCAGTTTCCTTAGCAGTAGAAATAATTGGAAATTAAGTGGTTGCTTGTTCTCTAAGTTTCTAACTAGTCCTCCAGTTGTGACTTCCATTAATAAAATATAGAAGTAAATTGCTATTATATAATCGCGCCAATCTCCCAACATTGTGGTCTTAAATTTTTATGATAATAAAAACACATAATACCTATTTATATTCTTCCCCGTGGGAGCCAGTTTGGCGTAGTGGTTAAGTACCAGGCTAGAAACAGAGGACAATAAGTTCTAGTTCAAATTTAGGCACAAAGCCAGATGGATGACCTTGGGCCAGTCACTGTTTCTCCGTCCTAGGAACTAGGTAATGGCAAACCTTTTCTGAAAAATCTTCCCAAGAAAACTACAGGGACTAGTCAAGGCAGTTGCCAGGAGCCAACACTAATTCAAAGCACTAACCCTAACACACGCACACACCCAACCCCCCCCCCCCCAAATCTCTTTTATACTGTAGAAATCTTGGGCTCTCTGTTTAGTTGTAGCCAGAGTACCAATTGCATTCCCTATTCCTATCTCATTTCTTTTTGTGTATTTTAAGCAAATTGCTTGATGAAGCATTGAAAGTTTACATAATCTTTTGCCATATTAGCATGGGGTTCAGGGGTTGCCACAAAGAAGAGGGAGTCAAGCTATTTTCCAAAGCGCCTGAAGGCAGGACAAGAAGCAACGGATGGAAACTAATCAAGGAGAGAAGCAACCTAGAACTAAGGAGAAACTACCTGACAGTTAGAACAATTAATCAGTGGAACTACCTGCCTCCAGAAGCTGTGAATGCTCCAACACTGGAAGTTTTTAAGAAGAGACTGGACAGCCGTTTGTCTGAAATGGTATAGGGTTTCCTGCCTGAGCAGGGGGTTGGACTAGATGACCTCCAAGGTCACTTCAAACTTTATCATTATCATCATCATTATTGTTGTTGTTATTATTATTGTTGGTTTCATTTTATGTTTAGATACAATAAGAGGAATACCTGGGTATTCTATTGTGTGTAACACCAGTGCATTACTTAATAATATATCCTACTCTTCAATCTCCATTGCATTGCATATAAGTAATTACAATATAGTGTTCCAAACGTTTGTGCACGTTCACCCAATTATGCATGAAATAATATGATTTTTGTTTCCATGGTGAAATTATTTCTTTCCTAAAAGAGTAATTTCAGAGTAATAGTACTCCTGAACACCAGCATTGGCCAGATTCACTCAACAAATATTGTTGGAAGTTTCTGGCCACCTCCTTTTGTTGAGGGATAAAAGGGTAAAGTGCTGCATAAGATTGAGGCTTGCAGTTGCTTCGGTGCATACTTGTAAAATGGATTACTTTGCTTGACAAATTAAGCCCAGCTTTAAGATCATTTCAAACTAGATGCTGAAGAAGAAAGCATTTTATTTTAGGCATGTTGGGTGGAAGGGTGCAAAATTTTGGAAGCTGCATTGAAAGTTACTCATAATATAGTTCAGTGGTTCTCAACCTGTGGGTCGGGACCCCATTTGGGGTTGATCGACCATTTCACGGGGGTCGCCAAGCAAGGCTGTCCGCCATTTTTTTCCCCTTTTCCGGCGGGTGCCTTACCTCCCTTGGGCTGGGCCAGCTGGTGGTCGGCCTGCTCCATCTCTGCCGCTTGCCAGCTACGCCTCGGCCGGCGCAGGGGGCAGAACCACGCATGCACGGCGCTCCCGGGCAGGGAAAGTCCTCGACTTACGACCGGTTGGGTAGTCCTCGACTTGCGACCGGTTTAGTCCTCGACTTGCGACCGGTTTAGTCCTCAACGTACGACTGGTTGGGGTTGCGGCATTAAAAAGGTTGAGAACCACTGATATAGTTAGAGCCAGATCAAAAAGCATGGGGTCATCCTGATGTTGGATGTGTTTCATTACACACAAAGGGGGTGCTTATGCATTCATCTTTACATGAAAAGCACCAGATATTACCCATTATATACTACTGACATTTGCCTGTGCCATTCTTCACTAAAATGATACAATCCAAAAGAATGTTCCCAGAATACTCAATGAGTCTGATAAAGCCATCTGGAGAACATCTAAGGAAGGAGAGTATAAATGCACATCCAAGCTTCTATGCCTGCCAGAGTGCCATCTACTGCCACTAGCCCTATGAGAAATATTCCACAAGAGGAAGATAGGGATGAATATAGGTCATTTTGCAAAGTCCACCCGTTTTGCAAAGAAGTCCTTTCTTCATGAAAAAGCTGTCGGTCACCAATGAACTTTAAGAGAATGGCCCTTAATTATTTATGGATTTCAAACAGCCACCTTTCCATTACAAAAGTGAAAAACAAGACAAAACACGAATTAATCGGAAAGTGGTTTGGTTCTTCATGCATTTTGATATGGTTTGTTGTGGTTTTATTATGTTAATTTTGTAAGCTGTTTTAAAGTTATCAAGCCACGGTACTGTATATAAACAAGTAGTAGTGTAATTGGTAAGAAATATATACCCAATGTCTGAAGGAAAAGGATTGAAGATTAAGTGCCCATATTTTATATTATGAATGGTTGTGTTCAACTTTTTATCGTCACAATTTTTAACTCTTTGTGTTTCTGAACAGTGAAATTTCTTTTTGACCTAGTTCTGTTGTTTGAAGGCTAATGTCCCCATCTTTTAGCTCTTGCCTGCATCAACAAGATATCATTTATTTTTGGCTTAGCTTGATATGTTTGTAGGGCACAGTTTATTACTTAACTATAAGTGAAGAATTGCTTTTTCAGCAAATCATGCTTAAAACAAACCATGACTTGATACAGTGTGAGATGTTATCTATTGAAAGGAAGGCTGATTTACTTCCCTTACTCACTGGAAGGAGACAATATCAGTTTTCAGTGTGTCATTTTCAAAGACCAAATACTTTAACGTGCACATGCTTTTCTTTGATTTCAGGAACCTGAAATGTCAGAAGAAAAAAACAAGAGTGAAGCAACAGCAGCTGCACCAAGAAGTGTTGTAGAATTTGCCAGCTCTTCCCCAGCCCCAAAGAGAATCCGGGAGGATAACAGCCATGTGCCTCTCATTATTCCCGTGTCTGTGCCAGTGAAGAAGCTGGATGCTCAAGACATCACCAGGGAAAAGGGCGAGGATGGAAAGCAGCAGCGGTTCCTACTTAATGATCATGGGATTGCAGACAGCAAGCCTTCTGTGATTGTCACCCGGAGGAGGTCCAATCGTAATTTGAACATGGACACATCAGCTCAGGTAGATTTGGGGGCTATATAAATCCTCTGAGCTAGAGATGTTAATCTTCCCACATACATTTCCCTTTATGTCAACAGTCAGCCTTCCCAAGGCAATTCTCTTAGGAAACAGGATGAGGACTTTAACAGTGGCGCCATTGACTAAAGAGGTTGGTGGGCTGCTCTTCACTGAATGTGTACAGATAGCAACTGAACATCTGGCTGTCGTAGACGGTTTGCTTTGGTTTCATGTGGGACATAAGAGGTTGGGCTCACTGGCCTAAATTCTTCTTTTTAGCTCTAAATTTACGTGAACATGGAGCCTTCCAGCTGTTGGTTGAGGCAACTTATTTGGAGTCTCTCAGGCTGCAGACAATTATTTTGACCTGGTTCAGAAATTGCAATACATTTTTATTGCTGTGCAGTATTTAACTATTCAAGGCTGGGTTGACCTAGTGACAGATTTGTTCCTCTAGTTCTTTCCTCCAGGGGAAAAAGGGAAACAAGGAAAGGACTAAGGGGTGTTCTCTTTGAGGACTGGAGCTGTTATGTATTGGATAATTCACATTGAAATAATGCATGGGTTTTCTTTGAATTTTACACATAGTTTATTTTTGTATGGGTTTTTTTTTGTAAATGTTATATGTTGTAGTCACTGAACTTTTCCATGTAAAAAGAATAATAAATGATAAATAGTGGTGAATCTGTTTTTCAAAGTTTCTTCCCAATAGATTTTCTATTAAAGCTCTTTTTACCATATAACAAATGGATTTTATATGCATGGAATGATCCTATTATTTTTACTCCCTCTGCATTATTTAATTTTGGATGGAAGGTAATAGCTTCCTAAAACATTATTTAAAAAATACAGTTTCCAAGAAGAGGGAATAAAAATTGTCCATGTAAAAAATACTTTTTTATTCCTTAACTTAATTCAGCTAATGCTGTTTTGCTCATTTCATGTTACCATTCATGCTTCCTGAAATTGTAAGTCTGTGCTGTAAAAAGCTCAAAATCATTCAATAAGTTTTATGCGCTCTTTTGGGGGTAAATGCATAAAAAAGGGAATTTGAGGTCTTCAACCTCTTTTTTTCTCTTTAAAACAGGGGTAGTCAACCTTGGCTCTTTTATGACTCGTGGACTTCAACTCCCAGAATTCCTGAGCCAGATAAGCTGGCTCAGGAATTCTGGGAATTGAAGTCCACGAGTCATAAAAGAGCCAAGGTTGACTACCCCTGCTTTAAAAGATGCAGTGTAATTTGATAATGTTGCAGAAATAACAGAATAATATTGGCCTAGTTCTGATAGGTAAAAGTTTCCCCTGTCTAGCTGTGTCTGACTCTAGAGGGCAGAGATCCTCTCTGTTTCTTAGCCGAGGGAGCCAGCACTCTCCAAAGACTCTTACGTGGTCATGTCGCCAGCATGATTACACACTGAGGCTCATGGAACATTGTTACATTCCCACCAAAGTGATACCTATTTATCAACTCACATTTGCACGCTTTCGAACTGCTTGGTGGCAGGATCTGGGGCAAGTAATGGGAGCTCATCCCGTAGCACGGAGCTTGGGTCTTAAACCCAGGCTGTCAGCTTTCCAACTGATAAGCCCAGCGTCTTTAATTGTAGAGCCATTGTGCCCCGAGTTCTGATAAAACCAGCAAAGAAAATGCTAGTATATTTTGGCTGGTTGGTTTACGTGTCCCCGTTCCTGAACAGTTCTTTCATACACAGTCCTCTATGCCCCTCTGTGCTTATTTTTATTTAGTTTGATTTTTAATCCCATCTTTACCAAGCAGGGCAGAAGAAAAAGAAAATCTTCTCCCTTTCGCTTTGTGGGGAAGAGATTTCGGTGAACAGAGGAACATGAGGACAGTTCATTGTTTCAGAGATGCAGGGAAGGTTTTGAGACGTAAAATGTTTTCCTCTGTGAGAAACAAAGTGTATTTCTTTTTCTATATGTTTATATAGCATGAAGGCGCTGCTCCAAAAGAAGTGGATGGTTTTGCGCGGAAGCCAAAACAACGACCAAGACCGGAGCCTCTTTTCATACCCCCCAAAGCTGGCACCTTCATTGCTCCACCAGTCTATTCCAATATCACACCATATCAGAGTCACTTGCGTTCACCTGTCCGTCTGGCCGATCACCCTTCTGATAGGAACTTTGAGCTACCTCCTTATACTCCCCCGCCCATTCTCAGCCCAGTACGAGAGGGCTCAGGACTATATTTCCATGCTTTCCTTTCTGCTACTGGTAGTACAGTTCCACCTCCAATGACTCCAAAAGCTGCACACAGGACCCTACTCAGATCTAGTAAGTTTCTGGACAATGTTCTTAGTGGGTTGGGATGGAAGGATCGCCAGGAGTGGATAACAGATGACCATTGTAGATAATTGTCATAAATTGGAAAGTTTGTTCAGGCTGAAGTATCTTGGGTTCTGCTTAGCTAGGCTCTCATCATGGCGTTCTCTAGTTACATTACAATTCCCAGGACGATTGGCTGGGAATTCTGGGCATTGCCAGTGCATCTGGAGGGTGCCAGGTTGGAGAAGATTTGTTTATACCATGGTAATTATGTGGAAGCTATAATCAAAATATGACCTTGGTAAGCAATGGCTTTTAAGTTGCTATCTTGTCTTATGTATTGAGATGACAGTTATCTATAACTTAGTTAGTACATCATCATCATCAGTCTTTTAGATACATTGGATTATATATTTAATTAAATATTTTTTTTTTGTAGACAGTACAGAAGCCACCCCTCCTGTCCTCTCAGTAATGGGAGAGTGCACTCCTGTCAGCATTGAACCGTAAGTATTCAATTGAAAAAATAGAGCCATTGTTCAGTGATAGAGTTGTATTCTTGGTCGTATGAGAAGTCATTTTCCTAAATTAATTCCAGAGAACTTTAGCTTCTGTTAGCCCAGGAAGGAAGGAAGATGTTCTTTTATTCAGTTAGACTTCCCAGCTCAGTTGAAGAGCTGAAATGGGAAGGAAGGGTGTGAACCTGAGGTAAGGGATATGGAGGCCTCAAGATACTACTTAATTGCAACTTTCAATAGTTTCTGACAATGTGGTCTATGATAGGGTGCTGAGAGTTATATCAGCTGGAGAGTCACCAAATCCCTACTCATAATGTAAATGAATGTATTTGTGTATATGTGTGCACATAAGGGGGCCAGGATTGTATGGCAAGAATGACTCTGCCTGGTACTGCTTCCCAGACCGTACCTTCCTACCCAGGGCAATCTGATCCATATGCCAGAAATGATTCTTCTTCACTATTGTATCTTGAGACAGGCTTTATTAAAGACCTTCATTCATGGAACTACTAAGTTTGAATACCAGACATTATTCATCAGTATGGAGAAGCAGGCAAAATAAAAATTATAGTTCATAGCACTATTTCAATGTAGAGACACTTCCAATTATACAGGTAGTCCTCAAGTTACAAATGTAATGGAGCCTGCCCATTCCATTCATAACTCGAGAATTCGTGGGAGTGAATCTCAGTACGAAGTCAGAACTGAACAAGCTTCTTGGATGAGAAGCGAAATGTTTTCAAGGAAAAACAAAGTCCAATTGCCTTTTGAAAAAGCACTTTGGGACAACCATGACCTGGATGACTGAGAATCTCCATAGTCATATGTGGATAAGAAATTAACTTGCTATCTCGCAGACATACATATTTTTAAAAAGACATTTTATTTGGTGTTCTAATTAAGCATTGAATCATACACCTGTTTAAATCTCTTACTTTTGACCTGATGCTAAGGGCTTTGAGTAGAGGGAATGACTGAGCCCAGCATTTTTTCTCTCCTGATTTCCCACAGAAATGGATATGCGATTGAGCAAGAATGTAGAATGAATGAAGGTTTTATTAGGAACATAGGCATCCGGGACAAAGTAAGAATAGGGAGTGACATACATGCATCAAGATGTCATGATACAAACACAGTGTACCATATTTCTATCAGAAGTTGGGATGTGTGTTCATGTTGTCATCTTGACATAATTGCAGTTTGGAGCCTGTGATTAGGAGCCTTAGTCCTGGTCCAACAACAGTATCTGTAGATAGAAACTGTTCTTGAACACTACAGCTGATCGTTCTTAGAGTCTTGGTAGAGAAATCCAAACCCTTTCAAGGCTTAAAAGAACCACTTTTAGAAGCAAAACACTCCCTGAATAATTCCAGGATAATATTGTTAATATTTTTAACCAAGCCACTTTTCAGACTAATAGATTTATCCCTTCTTTTCAAAATAACTTAGGAACTCAGCATGCGCTATGTTTATTTGTAATATCATATAGCCATATTTGTTTGTAGATGGCAGATTGCAGTCCTGCTACAAATGCATTTTGAATATACGTCTATGTCATAAGCACACATACTCCTACATTCATTTTTATATCTGTTGAGGAAATTGTTTAAATGTGTATGTGTTGCATATTCCTCTTGTTCTAGCAAGGGGGTTGGGATGCTCTCTTGCTCTTACTGGACTTGTCAAATAGGCAATGGTGATACCTGCCCAAGTCCACTAAATAGATGGAATAGTTTAGCAATGATTTAAGCTTCAGGCACTAGAGTTGAAGTTAAATCTGCTATGCAGATTTAACAAGCAGTCCTGTCTTGGACTGGTCCCTTGAATTTTCCATAATTATCACTTAGTAATAACATATTTAGCAATTATCACATAGCAGATGAGTTGTATAGAATGATAAAAGCATGTGTCAAGAAATTTGCCATATTTGGGTCTTCTTATATGTAAGTAAATAGATTACAGTTATTTTCTTTATTGAAAGCTTCTGAATTTTTGTTTTCTATTTTTAAAACATTTCTCCTAATTAGCGCGTGTTGGCTTGCTAAAAGAAGAATCTTTTATTTTGAGGCAGTTGAAATGGTTGAAATAAATCTGGGAACAGATTATTGTATCTATTTCACATCATGGTCACCCATGAAACGGTTTCAGATAAGCAGGCTGTGCTTTGGTGTATCACTGTCTTGATATTCATTTATTGTTCAAGGCGGATCAACGTGGGGCCTCGTTTTCAAGCAGAAGTCCCACTGCTTCGAGATCGATCTCTGGCAGCCTCTGATGTGGCCAAGGAGCAGTTGGTGTGGCAGCCCTGGGAGGAACTGGAAAATAATTCGGCAATCCAGGAGAATGGTAAATTTATATACCTATGTCTGAATGGCCGTGAAAACAAGGAGGGAGGGCCATAGAACATCTAAAAGTCACTGGATAGTCAACCCAGTTGTTGGCCTTTGATTCACTGTATTTATTAAAGCTTGCACTCAGAGCAAGGAACTCTAAATGGGAAATCGTGTGAAAGTGGAAAACCTGACAGTAATTGTAACAATTGAAAATTATTATTCTTTGTCATTTTGTCCCACATTTAAAAAACATTTAACTTTATCAGAAGCACATAAAGTCTGACCAGATTTTTTTTAAAAGTCAGTCAATAAAAATCAAATTGGGGTCTCCTGCTGGTAGCTTCTTTTTCCTGCAGCTCACCTCCTTCCTCAAACTCTGCTCCATTGTTGAAACTACAGAGAAGATTCTAGATGATTTTTTTGTATAAAAATGAAAAGTGAACTTGTGATTATGTTTGATGACTATAGATGGTATGGATTTCAGAAATAAGAGTATTATAATATAAATTTAGAGAGAGGTTAAAATTGGCCTGCTGTGAAGAGTATTGGAAGCCACTTTCTTTCTTTTCTATTTTTTCTTTAACTTTTTTTTCTTTCCTTGCACTTTTTTCTTTCTCTTTGTTTTCTTTTTCTCTTTTTTCCTTATCTTATATTTGTGTTTGTTTTTATCTTCTCTTTAAAAAGCTTTAGTAAAAATTAGACAGACATGGGCAGAGTGTTAAATGAGAAAAAAAATCATGTGTCAGATACTGTCCCCAAATGCTAGTAGGCAAGTAAAATATTAGCTAAGTTAAACTATTGGGTCATAAAGTAATTAGGTCATAAAGGTGACATTAGTACTAAATTTAACGTAATGTGATTGACTTGTTTAAAGAGGGGTTGCCTCAAAAAGGGCCGTGCTTTGTATTTTTTTGACCCTCTTTTGCTGTCCCATATAATGCCCATCATCGCAAATCTTAGAAGTAGTACTTAATCCTGGATCCCAATATTCTAAAGTAAAATCAAAGCTAATTGGATATTTTCCTCTTTATTGACACTGCTTATCCTGTAAGGGATGAAATAACCTGCAGGCATACTTTTCTCATAAAATGGACATATTCTTCTGCCCCTGAATGGAATGGGATGGATATGACAATATCATAGTAAAAACCAGGACATCAAGATTAATCCATGTTACTGGGAAACATGAAGGTGGAAATTGACCATTTTGGTCCTCTAAGGAATGTTGGTATCCATCAACCCAAGCCAGCATGGCCAGTAGTCAGAAGTGATGGACAAATTAGGATCCAACCACATTGTGAAGGCAGTAGGTTCTCAATTAAGGGGACCATTAATCACAAAATGATGGGAAGCTTGTCTGTGTGTGCATCAGCCAAATTGTACATATATTTGCTGGTTTTCTTCTTAAATGGATGTTGTTTATTTCATCTATCTATTTCATAACACGGTGGAACTTTCTTTTAAATATAACAGTGGACAACCTGGTAACAGCTGCATGTTCAAGCATATTTCCTGGTGGTGGTACCAATCAAGAGCTGGCATTTCACTGCTTACATGAAGCAAAAGGAGACATTGTGGTAAGACTCCAGCAACCTCTGATTGGACTGGAAAGTTTGCTGATAAATATAAAATTCTGATGTCTAGCAAGGACTAACAATATTATATAGCCCAGTTAGTGGCTTTGCAAACTTTCATAAGAGGTTTTACTACCCTGTTGTTAATACATTTGTGATAATGCATTCTGTCTTTTACCTGTAGCTGATTTGAATGGGGCAAATCAAGAGCTGCTAGCAGCTCTTCTAAGTATCTTCTTCCATTTTCATTCTGTTGCTCATGATGCATTTGCCTATAGCCTGTCATAAACTTGCTATTGGTAGTCCCAAAGATACTTTTCCAAAAGGCAATTGGGACTTTGTTTTTCCTTGAAGACATTTCACTTCTCATCCCAGAAGCTTCTTCAGTTTGAAGACTTCAGCTCCATAGACATTTGCTATTGGTAGGTCAGCCTTCCCAACCTATTGCCCTCTAGTATTCCTAGCCAGCATATGTAAACAGGTTGGGGAAAGTTGCTTTAAGTTAATACTGCAGGGGATATTTTCAAAGCTACACTTTGCTTGACATTTTCTTTTAAATAAATGATAATTGGTTGGGCTTATTTAACATGCAAAGCCACAAACTATGTTTTACTAATTGCAGTGACGGTATTCATAGTATAAGCAGAACTGGATAAATGACATTATGGCTTAGCTGTCTTACCCCTCCCATGCTGGAGCAGATCCATACGTTCAAAATGCTCCCAGTCCACTACTACTACCCCCATTATAGGGCTAGAAGGCCTTTCATCTGAAACCCTGAGGAGCAGCAGTCTGTCAGCATACACAAAATTCAGGTTATCTGTTACCCTCTAAAGTCTGTCTGTCTAATATTGGCATGGGATTGGTGTCATCATGGAGAAACTGAATTATAAAATCTGTGTAATGCAATTGTTTACTAGAAATAATTAAGGTAGCATATGTAACTTTTGATAATATTCTCAGCAAGAAAGATGTTGGAAATATCCGTGGCTACATTGTGCTTGATTCTGTTGATTTCCTGGAAGGCCTAGAATAATTTTGGCATTTATTTATGTCCTTGCTGTGAAATACTGTTTACTTGGGCATGATTAAACATGGGCGTTAACTGACTCTGCAGAGAATGATGATTTAAAGCCTCTTAAAAGTTTTTGGTTTTCTTTTTTAAATTGTTATTCTTAGGCAAAAAGTTAGCAGGCACCATTATCAAATGAGGTACATAGTTTAGGAATAGATATTTAATTCTTTTTTATATACAGGATTAAACTAAACCTCAAGAGGAACAAAAGGGAGTAAATGTAATCCTGTACATAAGACTTATTATATGAATGCTTTTGGATGTCACTGGTAAGGCATAGTTTTCTTGTGACATCATTATATTTAGCAATCCTTACGTCATCCAAAATGTTACCAAGGAGATTATAGGTGGTCCTCGCGTAATGACCATCATTCAACAACTGTTCAAATTTGTGATGATGCTCAATAAAGGATACAAATCCTCGTAGTTGTAGTTGTTGCAACACCCCCATGATCATTTGATTGCAACCGGGTTGCTCAATGCCTGGTTCACAATTATAACATTGCAGCGAGCTGCGGTCACATGATCACAATTTCCAACAGCTTCTCGCCTGCCAAGTCAAGGAAGTTGGAACATGAAATCCTAAGATAATGACTGTATGATCCTCATGTAGCATTGGCAAACAGGGCCACCAGAACTGCTGGCATTAAGCAATGAATTGTTGTGATGTTGCGCTTTTTGACCACGTCCCTTAGCAGTGGCAATTCTGGCTCCATTTGCCATTGTAACCCAAAGACTACCTGTAAAAGCATTCAGTTCTTGAATTTAGCCACACTAGAGCCTATTATTTTAACCTGCTAGAGCAGTTTTATTGTGGGTAATTGTCAGTCTTGCTGGATTAATAGGTTAGCTTTTTAAAGCTAGTTTTTGATTGAAAGTGAATTTAAAGCTAATTTTTCAAAGAAAGAAAGAAAAGCATAATGTTAAACTTAGTATAGATAGTCCTCGACCTATGACTACAACTGAGACCAGAATTTCTATTGCTAACAAGACGATTGTTAAGTGAGTCGTACGCAATTTTGCTACCTTTTTTTTGCCACAGTTGTTAAGTGAATCACTGCGGTTGTTAAGTGACTCACATGGTTGTTGATTGAATCTGGCTTCCCCCATTGATTTTGCTTGTCGGAAGCTGACTAGGAAGGTCGCACATGGCAATGACCGTGGGATGCTACAACCATTGTAAATATATACGCCGGTTGCCCAGCACCCAAATTTGGATAGCGTGATCATCAGGTAGCTGCAATGGTCGCAAGTGTGATGACTGGTCATAAGTCACTTTTTTCAGTGCTGTTGTAACTTTGAGTGCTCTCTAAAAGAATGGTTGTAAGATGAGGGCTATCTGTAAATCAACGATGGATTGCAGTGGAAGAGAGGAAGGGAAATGGATAATCTCCAGGAAGCTTAGTCTGTTCCTCTCACAATAAACCATGATATATTGCTCAAATGTCTCAATGGTTTATATCTGGGAGGATTATGAATAAAAATTTGAATGGGAATCATTCACGGCCCAAAGGCTTTCAGTGGCTTGTGCAAGTTTCTAAAGCAGCAGCTTTGTCAACTTTGGCCCAATAAAGTCCTGATAAGCTTGTTAGCCTTTAACGTGCTGTGTGATTCCTTGTTCTTGTTAAACAGGCTAGGGCTGTGTCACTTACTTATTTCAAAGGCTAGTTGAAAGGATAAATTAGCCAACGGTATTCACTCTGAATCTTACTAATCAGGTGGGCCCTAAACCCTAAATATACACAGCAATTAAGCAGTAATGATCAAAGATGTTTAGTAAATAGTGAGAGCTTGTTCAAGTTTTATTATTTGAGCTGAAACTGGTTTTGTTTTCCCTTCAGGCTACTTTGACCAAAATGCTGCTGAAGAAATCAGTGCATTCTCCGAGCCACCCGCTGGCAGATTACCACTACACTGGTATGCTGCAATAAGATAATAGCCGCAGTTTCTTCTCTCCTTCCCAATTTTAGGCATAAGAACATTTTAGAATCACCACCCTGGTAAATTTGAGGAACATTTTTACATACAGGAGATAATTTCTTCATCTTAGGATACTGCTATTCTCCAATTTAAGCTATGGTTGGGTTTAACACAGTTTACTTTTAGAAATAATGTTGTAAATACATTTTCTGGTCTACTGTGCACATGTGCATATATAGGGAATTGTGAAAAGACGAATCAGGCTATTAATAAATGACAATTTTATGTTTAAGGAATCTTAAGTATAATTGAAATACATTTGTGCATAAAAGTTGTCCCCAACCTGCTGCCTCTGAAGTAGATTGGACTACAACTCCCAGAATTAGTAGTCACATGACTAGGAATTCTGGAACTTGTAGGCCAACATTTCCAGAGAATAGCAAAATTTAGAAAATAGGGTTTAGAGGCATTGGCTGTTTCCGTAATCTCAGCCTGTTTTACCACATAGGAAAAAAACCCATTCCTACTGACAGTTTCATCCCTGCTAAAGAAAAAAAAAATGGACACAAATTTTGTGGTTTTGAACAGTTCTCTGAAAAGCGAATGAATTTTGAGATCACACTGTAATATTTATGCTTCTCACTTCATCTGATATAACATACAAGATTACCAGGTTTATCTATAGCCAGGATCTTTCTGGAAAGAAGATAGCAGTACAGGAAATTAGTTCAACAGTCTGAAAGTTTGGCAACCTGAAGGAGTCTTTGAGGACTTCTGAGGATAAGGAAATCCCTTGACAGCAATCCTTCTGATCTCTGTCAAATCTTAATTCATTGAAATAGGTTTTGTTCACTTTCTCTGTGACAGGTAAAGTGAGAGCATGGGAAGAAAATGTATTGTGGACAGTTGCTGGAAATCCCTCCTAGAACAACTAACCTGAATGTACATTATGTGCATTATGTATCTCTCCCTTCACAGGCTGTAATATTTGGCAGAAACAAATCTAAATCTCTCTTAGTTCATAGAAATAATATTTCAAAAACGTCTGGTTTTGCTTACTGGTCAGTGTATTATTATTTATTTATATGAATTATATACTGGGCAGAACCCATGAGGTGTGACGTCTATCTACAGTCATCTAAATGCCAATGAATTAGAGCTGATGATTGGCACAGACTTCATTGTGACAAATAGAGGAGCATGCCATTATAAGCTGTTGGAATTTACCCCAGTGACTCCCCTCCTGCAATCTCTTCACTCTGGCATTTCTGTTAAATACTAACCTCTCACCTGTCTCACCTGTCATGATAGCACTGGCTAATTTGCTCTGTTGTCACAGGAAGATTGTTGGGAGATGTGCACAGTCCCTGTGAGCTCTTTAAACTTAACACTAATCTGAGGTCACTAAATTTTTGGCAAGGCAGGAAAATGCTCAGCGGCATGTGTGACCCTATAAAATGTAGAACAATGCTATCCAACCACAGGACTTCAGAGCCTTTTGTTCGTGTAGTACAACTTCAGTGGTAAAACCAGCTCACCTAAGAACCCATTGTCCTAAACCAGGGGTAGGCAACCTTGGCTCTTTTATGACTCATGGACTTCAACTCCCAGAATTTTTGAGCCAGCCATGCTGAGGGGAAAGGGAGAGGTTTCCAAGCTGGGCCATGCTGGCTCAGGAATTCTGGGAGTTGAAGTCCACGAGTCATAAAAGAGCCAAGGGTTGCCTACCCCTGTCCTAAACAGATACTTGTCTTGATTCAAAGTTGGTTATGATTGTGACGAGAAGTTCTTATATCCCTCCATTTCATTCCAAATGTGTTTTTTCTTGGCTCCTTTCTTATGTTGAAAAGCAAAACTAAAGTTTCCCTAGAACTGAGCTTGCCATTTGGACAATCTATGTAGCATGGCAGTGTTGCTAGCAGAATGCCAAAGTGGTTTGCTATGACTTCTTTCTGGGGGATTATTTTTTTTACTTCCTCATTTGTAAAGCTCTACCCATCAAAGTGTTTTGGACTAGATGTATAAAATCCAACCTTGTTTCTATATGTTGTCAGTTTGTGAGTAAGACTTCAACATTTTAGGAATTCAGACAATTTTTTTTATTTCATTTAAAATTAACTATCAGATTCCAGTTAAAAAGCTTAATTAAAAAGAAGCTTCTGATTTAATCCAAGAATAATAACTTTAATTGAAGCAGGATAGCTGAAATGTTGATGTAAGATCTGCAATAACAAAAAATATTTTTGTGTTGGAAAATAAATAGGGTTATGGAATCATGTTCCACTATCTCTTTTTCCAGGGTCAGACAGCTGGAGTGTGGCTGAGAAGAAACACTTCAATAAGGGAATTGCTATTTATAAGAAAGACTTCTTCCTTGTCCAGAAACTTGTAAGTCTTTTCTCAAGTCCCTAACTCATGGCAAAAGAATTGACCAGCACTGATAGGATATATAAACATGTCTCCTCTGGCTGATTAATTTTGCATGGTTTTGACTAATCACTAGCAAAAAGGGACACTGCTTAAAGTTTACTTGGAGGACCTTCCAGTGCAATTTTGGGAAGTGAATGGGACCAATCTCTGGAGTCTCCTTCTCTGTGTGTGGAAATCCAATGGTGTGGCCATTGAACCTAATCTTTAATATTACCTTTATTCTGGAGTCCAGTATTAAAATACCGGACTCCAGAATACAGGTCATATTAAAGATTAGATATTAAAATACTACTTGGGGCAGTAATGCTGAAATGTTGATAATTTTAGTGATTTATTTCAGACAGAATAGAAAAAAAATGGAGCCTTGACATAATCTCTTTGCCCTTTCATGAGAGGAGTGAACAAATTGGCAGACTTGTTCTAAAATAGTTAACCATTGTTTCTTCCTCAGAAACATGAGGATAGAGTTAGTTGAAGAATATCTGATTTGTATGCTGCTTCATGTGAAAGAAGGAGTGAAGGAACTCTAAGCTTAGCCAAAAATTAGTTCCTTTTTTGCTTTTGAGCCAAACTATGAACATCTGTATGTAAAATCTATGTTCATCCAGAACCATTTCACAGATGCCCTCAAATTATATGCCTAATATATTGCAAAACAGAGATGAACAACTATCATTGCTTCAGTGGTTGCATCAGATTTCTTTATTTAGAATTTAGGTTTTCATAATCAAAGCTGTATTAATCCAGCAAAGCATTCAGCTGCCACCACAGTCTGAAAAGGCCCACTTTAGTTTGCTTAAAAGTGTACTTCAGAGTCTCTCATTTTTCATATGTAGCAACTGACAAGTGGCCTTTGAAACCCAGAGATCAATTTCCACAGTATTTAGTCTAAGATTTATTGCACATATGCCAACCTTCAGGACAATAGGTATGGATAGTAGCCAGGAGTTTTGAAGCTCATGAATATACCAAGAGAATTTGTGTGCAGTATAATTGGTTTTTGTGTTGAAATTTGACCTGTTTGATTGGTAAACAACTCAGTGATTCCCTAATAGAGTAGATTATAATTCCAATTCCTGTAATCACATTGGCGGTTTTCTCCTATAGGATTCCAGCCTACTCAAGGACTTCTGAGTCATAAAATTAGCATCTAATTATACATGAGGTGCCCAATTGCAACAGAGAAATTCAGAAAGGAATATATAAAGTAATATTGAATAATAGGTTTATTATTAAGAAATTAGATTATTTGAAATTTAAATTTAAATGGTATAAAAGAAAGAAGGTATTTCTGGATTGGCTAATAACTTCCACTTGGCTCTGTGATGGCTTTTGGTTATACTCAGGACTATCCCAGGACCAATCAACTGAAAATTTTTCAGCCATCACAATACAGTAGTCTGTTGGTGTTTGTGATCTCAATCAATGCATCCCATTGTGGAATCAAGCGAATGGTCACCTATTTTACCCTTATCTCGAAACTATCCAAACTGGTCTTTTCTATTTTTATTTTGATGATGTTTGTGTATAATGCTGGGTTTTAGACAGTAAAAAGCATGTCTTGTGTTTCCTTTTTAATGCACTATTCTTAAGCTGCTGCCATATTCTGCTGTGATCTAATTTGCCTTCAGTTTCTGTTTTAAAAAATGTCCATGGAATGCTTTAGATTTTCGGTTTTCTAGTCTCGTGTCAAGCTGTTTTTTTATAGTCAGGTTTAGATTCTATTTCTGCCAATTTTTTTCTGAGATTCTTTCAGTAACATTTCTTTACTAGCAGTAGGCCTTGTAATCATTTGGAATTCTCTGATTCCTTTCCTTGTCTCTTCCTTTGTTTCTCCATCTCACAATACTGAAGATAAAAACCAAGACTGTGGCCCAGTGTGTGGAATTCTACTATACTTATAAAAAACAAGTCAAAATAGGCCGGAATGGGACTCTCATCTTTGGGGATGTTGACACTACTACTGAAAGAGCTGTTAAAGATGAAGCTGAAGTAGATATAAAGGTAACAGATACCAAGCAGGAGCTTTTGGTACTAAAAATTATGCTAGACCTCATAGATGGCAGGCAAGGGAATGGAACTTGAAACAGGCATTTTCTATTGCTGCAAATTACTATGCATGTATAAAAAATATTCAGAGAAAATGGGAAAATTGCAGAGTTCTACTTAAATCTCATTGGCAGGAGCTATTAGAATGGTGATGAATGTGTTAGCCTTACTACATAGACCAGACAAGAAACAAATAAGCTAACTCTGTTTTATTGTCAAGCTACATTAACAGATATTTTGTAAGTCTCAGGTCACTTTTACAGCTCAGGGACACGGGCAGGATATCTTCTAGGTCTGTTGTTCCAACCACTATGTAATTGCAGGCTTTGCTCTCCTTTAGCTGACCGTTCCCCTAGGAATCATCTCTTTGCCCTATCTCCAAAGTTCACTCCCACCTACCATTACAGAATGAGCGCCCTATTGGATTCATATATATTCCTAATCTGTGCTGAAGTGATTATTTTTAACATGCATTCCTTTTTTACTCTTCTGAAGAGCTCCCATAGGCTTACACGTACTCTTCCTCCCAGAACATATAACGAAGACTATGAAAACACTGAAGATGAGGATCTTGAAGAAGTTGAGGAAGAGATGTCAATTAAAGAGGAAGCAGTGGAAGGGGACGAGTTGTATGGCAAAAGCAGCAATTTGGCGCCTTCCAAATCAACTCCTCTTCGAGAGGTTGAGGAACAAGTAAGTGTCAAATAAACCACAGTCAACAGTTTCTGCCTGGAGCATTTCTTATAAAACATCTGACTGGTTTTAGCGGAATCAATGTATTTTTTGTCCTTAGTTAACATCACTAGTGACATAAATTATTCATTATATGAATAATTGTCTGGCAGCTGCCTGATGCTTTCAGTCAAGAAAGATGAGTTTAGAAGTATAGATACAGGTAGTCCTCTGGTTACAACAACAACAACAACAACAACAACAACATAATAATAATAATAATAAATAATAATAAATAATAATAAATAATAATAAATAATAAATAATAATAATAATAATAATAATAATAATAATAATAATAATAATAATAATAATAATAATAATAATAATAATAATAATAATAAATGGCTGTCCAGTCTCTTCTTAAAAACTTCCAGTGTTGGAGCATTCACAGCTTCTGGAGGCAGGTTGTTCCATTGATTAATTGTTCTAACTTTCAGGAAATTTCTCCTTAGTTGTAGGTTGCTTCTCTCCTTGATTAGTTTCCACCTGTTGCTTCTTGTCCTGCCTTCAGGCGCTTTGGAAAATAGCCTGACTCCCTCTTCTTTGTGGCACCCCTTGAGATACTAGAACACTGCTATCATGTCCTCCCTCGTCCTTCTCTTCGTTAAACTAGACATACTCAATTCCAGCAGCCGTTCCTTATATGTTTTAGCCTCCAGTCCCCCTAATCATCTTTGTTGCTCTTCTCTGTACTCTTTCTAGAGTCTCAACAGTTGTTCAACAACTGTTCAAAGTTATGATGGTACTGAACGAGGGGGACATAGGACAAGGCCCTGTGGTCATTACAAGTTGAGATCTGGATGCTTGGTTCCTGGTTTGTGATTACAATATTATAGCAAGCTGTGGTCACATAATCACAATTTTTAATATTCCTTGACTGGCTTCCCACAAACAAAGTCAATGTGGAAGCTGGTAGGAAGTCGGAAATTGTGATCACACAAGGTCCTCACTTAATGACTTGCCTGGTCCTCACTAACAATGGCTACCTGTAAACTACTGAAAGTGCCACTGCTACGCAATACAGTCACATGACATTGCACTTTATGATAGTGTCACTTAATGATAAAGAGTTTCCAGCCTCACTTGTCATTGTAAGGAGAGATTACCTGTATGTAATATTTTTAATCAGCAAAGTAGTTGTAACAGCCCC